GGAAATTTAGTGAGGTTAGAGGTGAGTCAAGGGGATAGGTAAGAGGATAAAGGAAAGGAAGTTCAGTCACTGAATCGTAATTTCATTAAAAGGCAAAAAGAAATAAACTTACACATTGTTGGTAGGTGTTGAATGTGTAAATGTCTTAATACACCTGTGGCTGACACTAGACTATGTGTAGTATACAGCCCACAGAATGTTTTCATGGTTAATTTGTAAAAGTAGTTGCATTATGCATAGATCAAGTTCTTCAAATCCATGTTTTTACACACCAAACATGTTAAATGTATTCTGGTGATGAGACTAGTAAATAAACAAGTTTAGTAAAACACAGAAGAACCTATGCTTCCAGAAATAAAATGATCATTATATTACATTTGGGTGCATTAGGATGGAAAAAGCAGATAAATGTTACCATAACTTTCTGGACATTGCTTCCATTTGGCATCAATTAGCATGGGAGAGAAACCAATTCAGTGTTGCAGTGAACTCCAAATTGGGTGCATATTAGAGCAATTACAGTCATCTTTTCATCTGATGAATTTATTTTCAATAATTTAAATCATAAAAAAGAGAAATATGATTTGAAATAAATTAGCTGAGCTCAGTATTAGTTTATAGTTCTAAGATATGATCCCCATAAACCCCAATTTCATATCAGAATTACATATTTAAGTAAGCATAATGACATATGCACATCATCACAAATGATCATGCAAAGAAGCAAGGAAGAACTGTAAGTCTATTAACCTCAGCACTACTGGACCCAGACATAACTGGGTAAGAAGAGATTTAAGTCTGGTGAAAGCCCCGAATCTAACAAACCCATAAGCCTCTGGCACTTCTGACTACACTACTTGTCAATTACTCTTCATAGACATTGCCTGTAGGAATTGCATAAAACGAAATTAACCTGGCCACAAAATAGTAATTTTACCAAGTAACCCAAATTCAGAAAAGGAAGTCATTGATAAAGAGATTTAAGTGTGAAAGATCAGCACCAAATCGCCTCAGGAACCAGATCCAATGACAAAACCTACCAAAGGACAAATCTTTGCTTGTTCTCAAGGCACTCCAAGAGCTACAGAGAGATAACATTCCAGAAAATACCATTTGCCAGTAGAAAGCACAGGATTAAGAATCCCCATCCGCTGCTTTTCTGGGAAGCTATGGCAAGAAGACCTAAAGTATTAGGGACAAACTAACACATAAAATAATTCATGGGCACTGTGGATGACAAATGAATTTGTAATTTAGTCATCTGGCAACCAGAAAATTCGGCTCAGCCAGTTCATCAACCTACTGACCTGATCTTAAGACCTGATGTTGAGAGAAATACCAGGATTGCTAGTAATACAGAAATCAGAGATTCCTGTAACTCCCTCCTATGTCTACCTTTACCCAACTCACAATGTACTTGGTTGGGGCAATCAAAATATAACCCAAACTCCTCAGCAACTAAACACCTAACTTTGTGTTCAAAAGGCTTTTTAGATATTCTTTTTTTCTTTGTTGAACCCAGTGGTTCTGGGTTCCCATGTCTAGGAATATTCTCAAAGAAAATATGGAAAATTAAGCAATTTGGGCCCTCAGTCACCTTTGTCATTCACACTAAACATTCTTCTGCTATAATAAAGTTATAAGAACAAATTCCAAAGAAACTTTTGGCGGTGTGAAGAACAGGACTAAGGTATCTCTCAGAAACAGAGGGGCAAATATAGTCAGTGCTTTTTCCTTAAGCACTTGCAACATAATATCAGCTCATTGAACAACCCACTCCTCTTCAAGGAAGAAATTAGTAAATGTATAAAATTATTTTGAAAATCCTGATTTTTCTCATCAATCATGTGCAAAGAAGTGCAAAGAAACATGCAGTACTAATATCCAAATTAGAAATATCACCGTGAGTGCTACAGACATTTTGTAAGCGAAGCTTCCAAAATGAAGGTATAAGGTACATTGTATTGAATATATTTGGCCCAACTTTAAAATGGTTCTGCAGAGCAAAAGAAAAGCAGGGATCAGAGTTAGGCTGACAAGTTCATTTCAACCCTCCACTTTTTTCCAGTGACACTCCCAAACCTCATGAACAGTTCAGCTCTGAAACTCCCCAGGATTTCAGGGCACTTGAGTTTAATATGTCTATCACAAAGAGACCTGGGAGTATTTGTTTTTCCTCAAGGTATTGTTGATATTTTCAGGGCATGTCTGAGTCTAGAGAAAATTCTATATTCCCTCCCTACCTTTCTAAATGGGTAGTCCTTTGAAGCAGCAATATCATATTACCCTAGAACAAATCTAACTAAAACGGCTAAAAGATCAGGAATGCATGATGGATTCAGATTACCTTTCAACCATTAAGCTTTACAATAAAATGAGATACACTTGTGTGAACACAGGTTTGAGACAGGAAAGTGCTATCTCAAAATCGTGGAATCATTGCTGTTTTTTGATGTAGCAGTTATCAACACAATTCAACTGATGACACAATCTGTGTCACAAGATTAAACTCGGGGGGGCCAGCAGGTGGCGTAGTGGTTAAGAGTGTTGGACTCCCACATGGCCAGACCTGGTGGCTCACTTTCTCATCTTCCTTCGCTCTCTCTCCTTCTCTCTCTCTCACTCTCTCCCTCTTTGGTCAAATTAAAATAAGTGAATAAATAAAGTTAAAATTTTTAAAAAAAGATTAAACTTGGTTTGAAACACACAAATTAAGTATCATTACAGAAAGCTTCAAAAGTAGTAGAATGTTCAAGGGAGAGACTGAGATGGAAATAAGACCTGGATTCCCTTTGTACCTAAACTTCAGTCATTCACCCAATTTGAAAAGAAGCTATTCATGAGCTGATTTAAGGTTTAGTCATGGCAGGAATAATAGAGAAAACAAAGATATATACATCCTAAACAAATACTGAGAAAAATACCAAAGTATTGCCAAAACGGAACAGCAAAGGTGTGTTTATGTGAGTGTGTGTGTGTGTGTGTGTGTGAAATCATTATGTATGTAGAACATCTTGGGATACTGCCATACATTTCCTGTAGAAAACTCTCATTATTATCCAATCCATACAGTGCGTGTGTGTATATAAATGTGTACATACATGCATATATGTATGTGTATAAATATACACATATAAATATATAAAAATACACCTCATTTGTAAGAAATACTCCCTCAGAAAATCTAGCTGCAGTACACTGATACTGTTGTTCTAGAGAAATGTGACAAAAAATTAAAACAGATGATCATCTAGCCAGGCATAAAGTGAGAATCAATTATGACTATTTCCTTTCCTGAAGTCCCTTCATCTTAGAGAGCATATAACTAAAACCCTTTCTAACATAAATGAAAAAGCATTTCTTTGAGACACACAACTCGTAAATGATAGATATAAGTCTGCATCCTGTGACACACTGCTTATCCTCTGAGAATTAAACTGCCTCTGTTTCAGTTATAAAAATGTTTAATTTTTTTCATCTTTAGTCATAGTAAGGTTTCCCAGGAAGTATATTATCTCTGCAGATGTCATCACAAACCAATTAGGGAAGGCAGCAATGGACAATTGGTAGGGACCTCTATATATAATAGACTTTGACACTTGGGTCTGCTGGGGAGGGGATGGATTAGACAATTTAATAGAATCTACAGTAACTAATTTTTTTCCATGGAAAACATTTTGTTTTGTGGATCATGCATTATTTTTCCTTTGGATTCATTTACAAAACCAAAACAAAAGCATTTAATGATGTTTACAGTGCAATGAAACAGCTGAAGACCAGCACATAATCACCATATTTTGTTTTCTCATCTTTACGACTTTTAGCAGTAGGGCTTCCAGCTGAGCTTGAGTCTAGCTTCTCTTAAGACATAGCCAAGCATTCTGAAGCTTCACTAAGCCTAAATACCAAGTTGAATTCATACTACTTAATTGGAAAAGACAGGCTGTTTGCATAGCATGTTTGCATCAATAAAATATTGAAATGACATTTGTGCCCAAGTCCATCTGAACATTCTGCCTTAGCTGAACTCTGTTCATTTTTCATACCCTGGTTTCTCCCTAGCACAGTTTTAAATAGCATTGACTGCTGAAGCATGTGTGGCTCAGCTCACAAAAACAGACTCTTCTTCATACATGAGGATACCGCTCCTGACATGTGTTTTGAGGTACATTACTGGAATCATTTACATTGACTCAGCCATGTTTTCTTACCCTAGTCTCCCATATGACCAATGACATAGATTTGTGTGGTAGCTAGAGGGATTTGGCATAACAGTTCCACACACAAAATGGGTACTTGGGTACTTTCTATCCTCAGTAAATAGTACAGAGTGTATGGTCAGAGAACCAAGTCTCTATGGATTAAAATAATCAGTCAGATAGGGGGAAAAAATCCACTCTTTCAGTCTCATTAGTACTGTGTTCTATGCAACTCAATCTATGAGCTGCATTCTTGTAATAAAGCAAAAAGAGGCATTTATTCCTGGTGAGAAGGCATCTGCTCATTTCCTCCATGCTAACTATAGTTACTATTCAAGAGAAGGTATGCAATATGTAATATGTGGTCAGTTTTTTAAATGCCTGAACATTATACAGTCCTAGAAGGGCCACTCAAGGAAAAACCTGTAAATGAGGGCCAACAGGTAATATGGATGTTAAGGTGCTGGATCCCATATGACCAACTCCATAGATTGAGTCCTGCACCTGGCGGCTTGAAAAACACACCAGGTGTATGTGCGTGCATGCTCGAAATCCCAAAATGAGGTAATCCCCCAGGGGGTGATTTTTCACTTTCCCTCTCTCTGTCTGTCTCTGGCAAGCACACGTGCTTTATAGCAAAAACTTAAAAAATAAATAAATAAAACCTGTAAATGCTGCTGAGATCTGAACTCAGTAGATACCTTTGTAATACACTCAGTACAGTAACACAGCACAGTGTGCCTACAAATATTCTGAGCTCTTTGCTGTCTATTGTTGCAACTTACATCCAATCAGCCTTACCATGCTCAGGCATCTGAGATCCCATGGAGGTCACACTGGTGTTCAGCACATCATTGACGGCAGTATCACAGTACAGGCTCCGCTGGACATCATGTTCACTGTCAGTCTGGTCACTCTCCTCATGTCCACTATCCTTCAGGCTGTTGCCCTCTAAGTCCTTGAAGGTGGAGCTGCTGGGTTGAAAAAATAATGATAATTTACAACTGTGAAAGATCTGATTTCAAAAATTTTTCTGAGCCAAGATGATGTCAGCTCTGTCATGAGGCCAACAGTGGCTGGATTGTCCAACAGGGTAGGAATTGGGTGGAGAGAAATTTCTGTTTAAAGATAATGGTAATTAACATTATATAGAGGGTCCCACTATCAGATACTGATACGGTTAATGTTTTCATTCACTTATCTTCAATGCGTCACTACAGACAAGGTGGAAGAAGTTACAAATCTAAAACAGTCTCTCAAAAGAATGTCATCATTTTAGACTATCCTTTCTCCTCTTATACAATCAAAGTAAGATAATAATAGCTAACTGAGAGATTACTATTCATGAGGCACTGCTTTAAGTGCTTGACATTAATTAACTTTTAAGTCATCACAATTCTATAAGAGAAAGATGCTACTAATATTTCCATTTATAGATGAAAATACAGGTATATAAAAGTTAAATAACTTGTCCAAGGTCACACAGCTTGTAAAAAATGCAGCAAATCCAAGGCCAAACTCAGGTAATGTAGCTCTAGAGTATGGCACCTTAACTATGTACGCTGTCTCTCCAAAGACATTTAATAATTAGCTGTAAAAAGCAAAAGTGGAAGAAACTGCAATGGTGCAAGTAAAGTATAAAGGGTTATCAGGATCAGAGAACCCAGTCTGGTTTTAATTGGGAAAGCAGAGGAACAAATTCAAAGAAAAAGAGGGGATAGCAGTTGAGAGCACAGCCTTAGTGAAGGGAAAGTGTGATGGTTAATTTTATGCATCAACTTGACTGGCCATGGAATGCCCAGATAGCTGGTAAAACATTATTTCTGGATGTGTCTGTGAGGGTGTTTTCAGAAGAGATTAGCACTTGAATTGGTAGACCAACTTAGGCATATGGCTCTCCCCAATGCGGGTGGGCATCATTCAATCCATTGAGGGTTTGAATAGAACAAATAAGGCAGAAGGTTGAATTTGTTCTGTAACTACTTGAGCTGGGACATCAATCTTCTCCTGCTCTTAGTGTTCTTAGACCTCCAGATTGTTGGCTCTCTGTTTCTCAAGCCTTCAACTACACCATGGGCTTTCCGATGTCTCCAACTTGCAGATGGTAAGTCTCGGGACTTCTCAGCCTCCAAAATCACTTAAGACAATACCTTGTAATAAAACTCTTTTTATATACATGAAAATAAAATCTATCTACATACATGGTATGTAGATAGATTAGATATGGGTATACTTATTGGTTTTGTGTCTCTGGAGAACCCTAATACAGAAGGTAAGATAAAAGAGAGCCAGATAAAAGAGAGCCAGAGAATGAGCACTAATATAACTGTGGGTATAGTTATGCTAAGAACATGAAAACTTCCAGCTCAAGAGTTTGTGGGTGGGGACCAGCAGGTGGCATAAAGACTACACTGCTGGACTCCCACATAGTCAACTGCGATTTAAGTCCTAGACCCAGAGGCTTAAAACTCACACCAGATTCATCTGTGTATGTGCCCAAAATCCCACGAGGAGAATGGAGGAGAAGGTATTGCAGCATAGTCGTCCCCCACTGAAGGATGATTTCTCTCTCTCTGTCTCTCCAATGAGCACATGCACTCTATAGCAAAAATCTCAGGTGAACTTTTCCTTTCATTTATTAGATCAATGTGCCACACAATGCACTAAGTACACTATCCAAGAACTCCACACCATTTCTCAAAGAATAGGGAATAATGCATAAGGTACATCTGTAAAGGAATCACCTGCTAATCTGCCACTGTGCTACACCATGGATCATAAATTATGCATCTGAAATACCTAATGGATGGTGAATCCATTCCCTAGTCAGTGAGGAAACAGCAAAAGAAAACTCAAGAAAATGTACTGCTGTTGCTCCGCCAGAGAAAGTGACACACTTGTGAATTAAGACAAACCCCAACTAATCTGCTGTGCCTCTGTAAAGGGATCCCTATGGAGATGACACCAGACTCACTTGATCTGCTCAACCTTAAACATTCTGGTTCTCTGAGACTGAATAAAAATGTTCAGTACATGTGGTGAAGAGTTATGCAATGGACACAATGACTACATTGTCACTCTCCATGCTTGATCAAGAGGAATCACAGTAGATTTTTAATGTATGATCAACTTATGTATAGAATTCTTGCTGACCTGAATATAAAAAGGAAAAGATCAAGAGGGTGGACACTGG